GAAGAATGAAGAAAATATAGCTCGCACTGGTCGTATAGCCTAGAATAATATTTATGGAAAATATCATTGCAAAATACAACTTGAATTACAAGAGGAATGTTACAAATGCAATTCTAAGTCTAGTCTTCCAGGATTCACAAACTCATCATAACTAACCCCAGGTCCCGGGAAAGCTTTAGCAAACTCTAGTTTGTCTAAAAGCTCGTCAACAGAGAAAGAAGAAATAAAAAGTTTCCTCTGACTGGAAGCCATGAAGTTCTGCCTCACCGCATCGTCTAAGAATTTGAGAAGGTTATTGAAATAACCGTCAATGTTTAAAAGACCAATGGGTCTATTGTGTAACCCTTCAGAAGCCCACGAGATCAAGGTAAACAAACCTTCCATAGTGTCAACTCCTCCAGGAAGAACAATGAAAGCTTCCACGGCATGATTCATCTCAAAATATTTGTAGTAATTGCTGGAATCTGTGTGCTCTACACCGTACATAGGTCCATAGACCCGTCGTGTTGCTATGTACCCAGGAATGAAACCTCTAACGAGACCACCATTGGTAAAGACTGTTGAAGCAACAGCTCCTTGTAGGCCAACGTTGCCTCCTCCATAAGCAAGACTAATTCTTCGTCTTAACAATTCCCTTCCTAAATCTACCGCAGTAGCCATAAACTTTGGATTTCTACCAAGAGAATGACTGCCAAGTAGACCAACGAATCTTATGGAAATATATGATTTTAATTTCTATGACACATTAATGTGATTCTTCCTCTCCTTCGCCCTTTGCACTTATTCAAAATTGACTCCTTTTTCTTGTATTATTAAAATTATGAAAACATAAATTAACAATCATATGATAAGATATATAAATTTTACAATACATTAAAAATATAATGATTAATCTCCCTTGTATTATTTCAAAAATTATGTGAGCGCAAAAAAATAGTGATTATATGATTTTAATGAAAACTTTACAAAAACTATTCCATAATTTTTACTCATTTTTTTTCCTTCTTTTTTAAATATAAAATCATTTAAGTGTGTGAAAGTATTTTGGTCAATACATAATTTTTTATAAAATACAAAGAGTTACAATTTAAAAATTATATTTCTCTTTGATGTTGTAGCTGAGCCTAAATCTTATTCACTTCTGCACATTAGATCTTCTTCGTAGTTCTCCTTAAAGTATTGATTATCCTTGCATCTAAATTTT